GACCGGCATGGGGACTGGGGAGTACCCGACCGTACTGGACTCTCAATAGTCCCAGATCGGCTTTTGTCTCTCATCACAGGCATGTAATAAATGATTTGACGGGCTGCTTGAAGGACAGCTTACGGATTTAGGGGGGCGTCTTTCCCCATCAGGACAGGGAGCATCTTACCCCAAGGTGCCGAGGTAACATTAAATCAGTACAATTTGTTAGCCATAAAACTACACCCTGAAACAAACTGTTTGGGACACAGTACACGCATGCTAATTTATCACGACTATAGCAAGGGACGCAAAAATTATCTACCTTCTTTGATATTTACAATGTTTTGACACCAAAATATTTTTTGAAAGCAGCAAATAAAAAACATGCAATCACCAGCCAGCCGTTGCCCAACTGAGCTTCGCAAATTTTTGTGCAGTTAACAAGGCAGGCTTCCGCTTTACGCTAAGAACATTAATTTCCAGGTTCGATTCTTTGTTTCGCCGCTAGAGGGGGTGGGGCGTCTTTCCCACCCTGGGCATCTTACCCCACTCTCCCCTAATGTACATAAAACTAGCACGGACAGAACCGCTTATTAGATTCGTACGTCACTAACAGTGAAAGAAATTCGCTGAAAATTCGTGCTTTCGTATGGACATTGGGTGCCAGCTGCCACGAGTAGTGACGTTATCATAGCATGCTAATTTTTGTAGACATAATTTCCATGTATTTACCAAGCACAATTTGAATTCGAGCATTTCTACGGCAGAGGTGGAGATCTCGGGGGTCGGGAGGGTCAGGACCCCCCTGAAAACGAATTACTGCTATGTAAGTCAATGTTACTTCATGCAGCCCGCCTCCATCTGCCCGGCCTGGACCCCCCCCCCCCCCTGAAATTTTGACAGATCTCCACCCCTGTTCTACGGTAAGAAATTCTTAGCCAGACGCTGGAGTTGTCAAAACTCGCGTGAGAACTTCGATAATTAATTTGGAGCCAAACACCTTTTGAATAAAAACAGGCTATAACTTCCTTGTTGATATCATGTCACATGGTTATCCATTCTCAAAAGCCTCCTGTCATGAAAGTAATATTTTACGGCTCTCCGTGGACGTGAATTTTGCCAGGTCAGGCTTATTTGATGTCAATTCCTTTTTAATTCCCTGAAATCCGGAATAAGTTTGAGTTACGCTACCGAAATTACGGAGCATCATTTGACATTAACGACAAATCCTCGAGTAAGGACCAATCAGCGTCATTGGCGTTTTTGAAGTCATCGTAATTCAAGTTCGTAATATCTATGATGTAATGGACGCATAAATTTGTTGCGTGAATTTTTGGATTCGAAGATAAAGTTATTGTCAGTTTTGATCTTAACGATATTTAGCCCTGTGAGGGAAAATGAAGAGCATCAAGGAGAAAAAGGCAAATCTTCTGTACGAATTGCTTCTTTGCGGCCTTGACTGTCGTAATTTCGTATAACAATCGCGCCGCGCCACTTCGTAGTTTCCTCAGATTACCTGGCTGGTGTTCTCAATAAATTAGTTTGATATATTCGTAATGCAATCTGTTCGGATAGTCTTAATGGTTATTTCCTCGCGTTGTGTTACGCTTAGCTTTGTAACTTAATGCTTTATTTATCTTAACTTCGCTTAACTTTCTTAAAACAACTTAATGGCCTCGTTCTCATTTTTCTATATATTTTCTTCCTCGTTCTCTCGTCTTCCCCGACCTCAATACGATAATCATCACAAAACATATGTGCACGCGACATGTGTGATAAAAGCACTGGCGGATCCAGGGGGGGGGCATTAGGGGCATATGCCCCCCCCGACAGGAGCCTGGGGAGGGCATTCAGTACAAGTATGCCCCCCCCCCCCGTTCAGACTTACACTTCTTACGCCTATAACGAGGAACTAAATAAAAATGGATTAGAAAACCTTCCTCAGGGGCGCGGGAACTACTTTCAGACTGGGGGGGGGGGGCACACCATGATAGAGATCAACCTAGGGTACCCCAAATTTAGTTTTCTCCCCGGTTTTAGGCCACTTATTTTTCATCCCTTGGCTTTTTCAACAAAAAAAGAAAACATTTGTAAAAAAAGTGCGGCATTCCGTCTTAAAGTTGTGGGGGCACCGCCCCCACAGCCCTAAAGTTAGGGGGCAAGCTGCCCCCCCTGCCCCCCATCCGGTTCCCGCGCCCATGGCCTTCCTAGTAACTACTTTTGTGATCAGAGTCGTTTTAGTAACCTCAATTTAGTTGTCATTGCTTTATTTTTTCTAAAAGTATGTTGCTTCTTAGTTCTTACCACAGGGGAGTCATGCCGCTTCAACCCTTTTGACCGTATTGTCTAACGATGGCACTCATATTGCGCAAACCAGGAATCGGCCGCCGCCTATGCTTGGGAATAGGGACGGTTAGAATATGATTTACCTGTATGGCCGCAGCCAGTGCAGCGTAACCGGGGGGGGGGGGGGCACAAGAGGCGCGTGCCGCCTCATTAGATGCATGGTGCCCTATGGGCCCGAGAGGCCCTGCAGTGCCAATTGGCCGCTCAGGGTCCAAGCGTGCCTTATTTCGACTGAGATAAGACCCGCAGGACTCGTGAGAGCACCTCACGGAGTCACGGGCTCCTGAGTTGCCACACATCACACATCTCCATAAGAGCCCAACTCCGGCTTCTGAGGGCCCTGTGCTGGCCTCTGAGTGACCTTGCTGACCTATTAAGCGTCAGCTCTAATTAGGGTCCTGGCCCATACCCGCATGGAACGGCTCCACACCAGTGTCTCTGAGGGCCCATAACGGCGCCTGTGAGAGTCTCACACCGGCGCCTTTGAGGGCCCAACACTGCCAATCTGAGGAACTAACACCAATATTTCTTAAGGCCCTACATCAGCGGCGGCTCTGACGGCCCACACTGGCGCCTCTGAAGGTTTTGGGCCCCCCACAGGCGCATCTGACGGCTACCTACCTGCAACTCTGTGGGCCCCACACTGGTGACTCTGAGGGCTCCCAGTGACGCCTGAGAGTACCACGCCGGTCTCCAGGATCCCACAGGGCTCCTGAAGGCCTCTGCTGACCCTTGATGGTCTCTTGAAGACCCCTTGCCCCCCATGCATGTGTCTCTGAGGAGTGAGGACTCTCACAACGATGATTTGAAAGTCTTCACCGGCGACTGGAGGGCACCACACAGACACGTCTGAGGGCCCTACACCGCCACCTCTGACACACCAGTGTCTCCCGAGGTCCCACATCGGCGACTCTGAGGGCCCCACACCGGCGCCTCTGGGGCCCCACACCAGTGCCTCTGGCAGTCAGCCACCGGTAACTCTGTAGGTCCTACACCAGTGACTCTGAGGGCCCCACCGGCGTCTGAGAGTACCATGCCGATCTCTAAGGACTCCACAGGGCTCCTGAAGATACTGCCGGCGCTCACTTGCCGGCCTGTGAAGGCCCATTGTTGGCATCATACGGCCCGTTACCGGCTTCTGAGGGCCCTTTGTCGGTCTCTGAGAGGTCCTACTGGGTTATTAACCCTCGCCCATGTAGGGGGGGGGGGGGTTGGTGCAACCCCCTGAGGTTTTTCTTAGCTACACGCCGAACCGTTTCAGATAGCCTGCTCAAATTTTCAGTACCCTCTGGGGCATCCTTTGCGCAAGTTTTGGTATTTTTTGTCAAGGTCATGTCAGGTCATGGAGTTATGACGTCATAAAGGGATAAACCTCCGGCCAGATTTACGCTAAATTGGAAATTGCTTCACATTGGTATAAATACCGACAGACCTGACACACTGATGGGTTGTTTTAGAATCACAACTGGCTGATTTGACATTGGCACAATGTCCGTTGACATTTTGAAGGTTACTTAAGGTCAAGGTAAGGTCAGTGACCTCGGTTGACCTGTAATAACTTCTTGCCACTTGTATGCCTTTTCGGGGTATTTTGATGCCCTGAATTCGAATTTGTTATCCATTTCAGGCATCGTCGGTTGTTTCTTGTAGTTCATTTTGGGTCAGGGTCAGGTCAGTGACGTCAGACGCCTGACGTGACCCAATGCACAAATGACCTTGCAGACTTCCGATGCTCCCAACGCATCATTTTTAGAGTTATAACATCGAAATACACACCAAACGATAGAGAATTGATCAAGGAGCACGATAATGAAGGTTGTAAGTCGATATCTCTTACCGTTTTGCCGCAATCGGCGCGGAAATCTGTAAAAGTTAGATTTTTCCGAAAATTTGACCTTTGACCGGTCATAAGTAGGTCAAATGTTGACCTAGGACCAAACAATATACCACCAATCGCGAGATCTCGTTGAGAGCAGTCCGTTGGTCTTTTCCGCTAATCTCTATGACGCTCCGTTTTCAAACGCCAGGGGGGTCGCACCAACCCCCCCCCCCCCCTGCATGGGCGAAGGTGGCAAAACACCGTTTACGGGCGAGGGTTAAGCATTCGCATTTCGCACCAACAACTCCAAGGGCCCCACACACAACCATCTGTGAATTGTGTGGGCTTAGCGCCACACCAGTGTTTGAGGCACCACAACGGCGTCCATGTGAGGGCCTCACACCAGCACCTTAGAGGGCCCTTACCAGCTCCTTTGTGGTTCCTGCACCAGTGCCTCCGGAGTGCCCCACACCACTGCCTCTGGGGAACCCACACCGATACCTTTGATGGTCCCACGCCAGTACCTCTTAAGGTTCCACACCGGCGGCCCTGGGTCGGCTCTATACACCAGTTATTCTGAGGGCCCCACTGGCCCCACCAATTTTCGTCGATTTCTGGCGCTGCCCGGGTATTTGTCCCAAAAGCCTCCTCCTCCTGGATCTGCCAATGGGGGTCAGGTCTCCTACCATTTCTGTTTTTTTTTTTTTTAGAAAAAAACTCTGTCAGGGCTATGACGAAAAATAAGTGGCCTAAATCCGATGAGAAAACAGGATTTGGGGGTACCCTAGGTTTGGCTCCGTGACCTGGTATGCCCCCCCCGCGCTGACATCCTGGATCCGCCAGTGGATAAAAGAACCTCTGTAACACCCCCCTCGACTTTGAATTGACACGAATTCAACCAATTCTACATAGAGGTATCACTTTCACATTTCCACTACTTTGACTACTGGCTACTACTTCACTGGAGCACATCGATGTGAATCAGCTTCACGACTGGTCTCGTCACGACCTTATTGTGCAGTTTCACTGTAGCCACACGCACGTGGCCATCTTTCCCCGGTAACACTTCCTCGATTCGCCCCAGTGGCCACTGACTCCTCGGGGTATTTGCGTCGATCACCAGGACCAAATCGCCTGATTTCAAGTCGGTCTGAGGCTTCAACCACTTTGACTTCGCCTGGAGAGCTGGTACATATTCTCGAAGCCAACGCTTCCAAAACTCTATGGATAGTTGCTGGAGCCGTTTCCAGCGCTGCCGAAGAGTTGTAGCGTCATCCTGTGATGCCGGTGAGGTCTCGATGCTAGCCGTCCCCAAGATGAAGTCTGCTGGCGTCAGTGGCTTCTCATCGTTGGCGTCAGCTGAGACGACTGTGATTGGTCTGGTGTTCAGCAGTGCCTCGGCTCGGCAGAAGGCAGTTTGAAGCTCCTCATCGGTAAGATCGGCCCTCTCGAGTGTTCTTTTCAGAGCCCGCTTGGCGCACTTGATCATTGCCTCGCACGCGCCGTTGAAGTGGGGAGCTCCTGGTGGGGTGAATCGCCACCTGATACAATGCTTTGACAGCTCTTCCTGCACTTTGCTTGAGTCAATGCTTCTTACCAAGCACTTCAGTTCCTTCGTGGCTCCGACAAAGTTCCTGCCGTTATCGGATGTGATCTCAGACGGTTTGCCTCTTCTGGATACAAATCTCATGAGAGCTCTGATGAAGCTGTCCGTGTCTAGCCCATAGGCCATCTCGAGATGAACAGCTCTTGTTTGTAGACAGCTGAACAGGCACAAGTATCGTTTCTGTCGTGTCTTGCCTCTTCCTTGTCTGGTTTCGAATGGACCTGCATAGTCTACTGCGCATTTGTCAAACGCTCGAAACGATGGACAAACTTGACTGCCGATCTTAGGAGCCATCAGCTGTGCTTCCGGTTTCTTGCGGCCCTTTTGACAGACGATGCAGTTTCTCACCACTGACTTGATGAGTTGACGGGCTCCTGGTATCCAGATGTGACGTCTGACTTCGGACAGAGTGTGCTCCGTCCCCATTGCATGGTCTGCGTCCTCATGGTGCTGTCGAATGATCAGCTTGCTGATGTGATGTCTCCTTGGTAAGATAGCCGGATGCTTTGAATCAAACGCCAACTCAGACTTCTGAAGCCGGCCTCCGACTCGCAAAATTCCATCTTCATCCAGGAAAGGGGTAAGTTGTTTGATCGAGCTCTGCTTACGTGACTTCTTGCTTGAGATTCCCCCTGTTACTTCGCTCTCTCTTCGTAGTTCTTTGATTTCAGAACCGTACGCCTCCTCTTGTACTTGACGTATCCAGAACTTCTCGGCTCTCAGCAGTTCGTCTGGGTCTAGCTCTACTCTCTGAGCTTCTTGGACTTCATGTTCTTCACTTGCTGGTTCTACTCTACACCTCACCGCCTGGATGAATCGCCACACCCAAGCGGTTACACGCACTAGTCTGCGCCATGTAGAGAAGTTCTCTGGTCGAAGACGGAATTCGTCTGGCATGTCTGGAACAGAAGTTGCCAGCACTGTTTTCTGAGGTGCTTGTTTCTTGAACTCCGTTTGATCATGCTCTTCTTTGTTGAACTCTTTCTTCAGAGGCCACTGATCTTTTCCTTTCAACAGGTAGGCCGGCCCATGCCACCAAAGTTCATTGACGCGCAGCTGCTCTATCGTCAGACCTCTCGTTGGCAGGTCGGCTGGGTTTTCGACACCAGGTACGTGTTGCCACTGGTCAGGCTTGGTCATCTCTCTGATCTCAGAGATACGATGGGCCACGAATGCTTGGAAGCGGCGAACTTCATTTCGGAGCCAACACAAGACGTCCATGGAGTCGGACCAGAAGTGAACGTCATCAACTGGTATCTTGAGGACTTCACAAACTTTCTTCACAAGACGTACTCCGAGAAGTGCCCCCATCAGTTCCAAGCGTGGAATGGTGTGCTGCTTTGCCCGTGGTGTGACTCTAGCACGTGAAAGAACTAGATGTGAGGAGCGCTCGCCACCATACTCAGACACTACGTAAATTGCTGCTGCGTAAGCCTGTTCTGATGCGTCGCAAAAGACGTGTATTTCTTGCTTTGGTGTTCCTTCATATGGATGCAGGCATCTTGGGACTGAAAGACTGCCGAGGTCACCGAGCTCAGAGAGCCACTCTTTCCACTTGCCTTCTAGGTCTTCTGTTAGTGGATCATCCCAGTCCACGCCTGCGGCCCATGTGTCTTGGAACAGCATCTTCGATCGTACTACAAATGGTGAGAACAAGCAGAGAGGGTCGAAGACTGCTGCCATCTCCTTCAAGCAGCTTCTCTTGGTGAGAATCTCAGTCGAGCGTTGTCTTGAAGAATCGACGGACAAGCGGTCTTCTTTTGTCGACCAGACAACGCCCAGCGTTTTGGTGGAGGCTGAACTCCTTTCTTCAATGATAGTTCAGCTTCATTCGCACGGTCTTCTTCAGGAATGGTGCTCATCACCTCTTCACGGTTTGACATCCACTTTCTTATCTTCATTCCAGCTTCTTGCAGTACCCTAGCTACTTGTCTTCTTGCCTCCGCGGCTACTGTGCTGGATTCATAGGAGGCAATGCAGTCATCCATGTAGAACATGCTGGTGAGGGCCTCAGCTCCAAGTGGATATTCGTCCGCCCGTCTTAGAGCGTGCTCCCTTAACACGTACTGAGCAACAAAAGGAGCGGCAGCATTTCCGAATATCCAGCGATTTGCTTCATATATTGTTGGGTTTTCATCTGTTCTCATGTTTCTCCAGAGTATTCTGTGATATCGTCTGTCTTCCGGCGCCAGCTCCACCTGGAGAAACAATTCAGATACGTCTCCGATCAAGGCGACTGGATGTCGACGAAATCCGACGAGTGTCTCCGTCAGGTCACTGTAGAGAGATGGACCGGGGAGCAGTTGTGAGTTCAGGCTGATGTCTCCACACTTGGCAGCTGCGTCGTAAACGACTCTGACCTTCGTCGTCGATCTGTCGTTTCTAACGACTGGGAAGTGTGGTAGATACCACACTTTACTTTCGAGTTGTCCGTGCTCCTCGTCTGTGATTACTGTTAGATATCCTTTGTGGACGTACTGTTCAATTACATCATTGTACCTACTTCTTTGGAAGATCTTCGTCGTACCGCCTTAAAAGAGATCGTTCTGTATTCACGAGTCGACTCATCGCCATGCCGTAGTTGTTCTCGAGTGACGGTTCTTCATTGCGCCATGGCACTGCTGCTTCGTACCGACTACCCGTGTACTTCAGAGACTTCTTAACCTTCTCAACTGCAGTCTGTTCTTCACGTGAGAGAAGATGCTCTTCGCTTGACTTCACCTGCATCAGTTCCAAGTCAGTCATTGACTGCATGATCTGGACCTCATCTTCAAACACTCTTTTCTTCACATGTGTTCGCAGGGTTTTTGCAAAGTTTGACATGTTTTTCAGGCATGACACATCTTCACTGGTGTTTTCAGCTGCTCTTTCGATACAGCCGAACGCTGTCCAACCGAGCGGTGTGAGCACTGCCACTGGCTCTCCGGTCGTGCCAAGAACAGTATCCAGTGGCACGAAGAGGGGCATCGTATCGGCGCTGATTCCTATCAGCAGATCGACCCCACGACTTCTTGACATCTCCGGGAATTGGATGTGTCGCAGATGCGCCCACTTCTTCTTAGCGTCGTTCCAGTTTATGCCCACAGATGCTCCGTCTAAACTGGGTATGACGAACACGTTCAGAGCGGCTTCATAACTGCTGTGCAGGCTGGATAACTTCACAGAACCTGCTTTCATAGTGACGTCTTGTGTGCCGGTCACCGTTCCCAGCTCAAACTTTTGGCTCGTTCCATTGAATTCGATCTCGGATGCAGCTGCTTTACTGATGAATGATGCGTCAGAACATGGGTCCAGTAGCGCGTTGAGGGTAACCGAACGGCCGTTGTGGTGCACGCGCACTGGAACTGTCTGGAATGCGGTCGCTCCTTTTCCTGGTGGTGATCTGGAGGCTGCCGTATTGTAGCTTATTCCGGAGCTTTGTGTGTTCCCGCTACTGCTACTGCTGGTGGTGTTTGGCGTGTTGCGCGATGACTGACATCCACTGCTGTGAGCTCCTTCTTGGCGGTATTGTGACCAGCTCAACTGTCCGCTCTGTTCTAGTTGACCTTGCTGAGGTAGATGGCTCGTAGTCTGACGGTTCTGACTTGTGTTCTCCGTCTGTCGGTGCTGCTCTTTCAGCCGTCCTCTCTGTTCCAGTTGCTTATCTTGTCGCAGACTGGCATGCAGTAAGGTGTGGTGGCTTCCTCCACACCCCTCTAACTGACATCCAGGAAACCGGTGGCATCTTATTCCACGATGTTGTCCGGCGAGACATCTAAAACAGATTCTTGTCTGCTTACAGAACTCGTATCTTTTGCCCACTGTCCAGCTCTGAAAAACAGCACAGCTCTCCAAGGCGTGATCAGCTTGACAAACCATGCAGTTTGTATCTGACGGCGGACTGAATGACTGCCGCACTGCTGGCTGATGTTGATTCTGGGTCTTCACTCGGAATGTCTTCCTTTGCTGATGTCGAGTGTTTGGCATGCTGCTCGTGGTTTGTGTCATTTGCTTTGCTCTTTTCTCGAATAGCGCTTCATCCGCCAACCACTCGGCGAATGACTCGAAGTTGTCTTCTCTGTGCTCAGTGCTTAGCCATCTGTTGTAGTTCTTCACGTAGAAATGATGGAGCTTCTCTACAACAAGTAAGTAGTATGCAGACGTGTTTGTGAGATCTGACACGCATCCACTTTCCTTTAAGTTTGTCACTAAACTTGTCACTCTGTCAGAGAATTCTTCTAGCCGCTTGGTTTCATCCACTTGAATCGGCCGCGTGCGTCTTATTGAATCAAGCTCGTTTCGGATTTTGAACATTTTTCCACCGTATTTCTTGTCTAACTCTTCTTTCGCCTTTGCATATCCCGTTTCTGTGGGTCTGTACCTTTCTACAATTCTCAGAGGCTCTCCCGCGAGATAGTTTTTCATGTAAATCATCTTGAACTTAGCCGGTATTTTCTCGCTGTCGACGAATGCATTAAACATCTCCGACCAGTCACTAAACTGCATCTGATCCCCACTGAAGACTGGCAGCTCAGGCTTTTTCAAACCAGGAATCGTGCACGCTTCTACTTTCTCAACTTCTTTCACTGAACCACTGGAGCTGTGCGAATCTGAACGATCTGTGTTCTCTGATATCTTTTGGCGAATGTATTTATTTGCTAGCGAGACCGAATCAGCGATGTCATTCTCTAGATCTTCATAATTCTTCCACAGAGGTCCTGATCGCACAGATGAGCCGTCTTCTGAGTTATCTTCATCTTGCATAGTTTCTACTATGTCCAACAACTGTGTCGTTAGCTCTCCCAGCTTGGCAATCAGTGCTTGTATGACTGAGATTGATGCGTTTCCCTCTATGAGCATAGCATGTAATTCACACTCGTCGTTACGTATCTGCGTCACTAACTTTTGCTTTCGCCTATACAAACTATGAGGCACACTGGCTTCCATCATTGATTCCTCAGGGTTTACAGAAGTGTTGCTGGTATTGTTCATTTCTTCACCTCCGGTCTTCTTACTTCTCTGTCTTTTTCCCGGCATTGCTTCATCCGTGTTCACTGGCACCAAATGTTCGGATAGTCTTAATGGTTATTTCCTCGCGTTGTGTTACGCTTAGCTTTGTAACTTAATGCTTTATTTATCTTAACTTCGCTTAACTTTCTTAAAACAACTTAATGGCCTCGTTCTCATTTTTCTATATATTTTCTTCCTCGTTCTCTCGTCTTCCCCGACCTCAATACGATAATCATCACAAAACATATGTGCACGCGACATGTGTGATAAAAGAACCTCTGTAACACAATCAATGATGTGGTGGCGCCTTCATCTACAAGCATGTTTAATGGCAGGTTAGGCCAAAACAGGGCTGAGGAACATGTTTCCTCATCGCCGTGGAATGGATATGGCAGCACTGGCTGAAGTTCAGCTGCAGAAAACAGCTATCAAATGCAAAATGGTTTTCACGCATTTCAGTCCATCGTATGTTGACAGTCCAAAGAATCATTTTGTCGACTCGGATAACCGTTTGTTGGCACTGGTGTCACTGTCAATGTTACCAAATGCCGTGAATAGAATAGTACGGCATTTTAGGTATAAGATTTGGCCCTGCAGGGCCCAATCTTATAAAATAGAATAGAATAGAATAGTACGGCATTTTATTCTATTTACGGCATTTGGTAACATTAACAGTGATACCAGTGCTGACAAACGGTTATCCGAGTCAACGAAATGATTCTGTGAACCGTCAACATACGATGGACTGAAATGCGTGAAAACAATTTTGTATTTGATAGCCGTTTTCTGCAGCTGAAATTCAGCCAGTGCTGCCATATCCAGTCCACGGCGTTTATAAGATTGAGCCCTCGGAGGAGTGGTATGAGTTATAAGCCGTATGCCGTTTCTCAGCGCGGCGGCGCCCGGCCCAATTTTGCTCGAGCGGTAGTCTGGCTACAGATGCGTGTATCGAGGGTTCGCATCCCGAAAGTGCTGCGTAGTTTCAATGGAATTAAGTTTTTAGTGCTTGTGCAATATGCATGGAGCATGTGTACTTGAAAATAGCAGAGAATAGCCTTTCATAATTTCAAGGAGAGTTCATTACGAAAGTTTTCTTATGAATTTTAGCTTAACCCGGCAGGCGGTGGGCCTCCCAGCCACCTTCCGCGCGGGGGGGGGGGCATTTTTTTGCCCCCCCCCGTATCTCCGAAACTACTGGACGGATCCGGAAAATTCAAACGGCGTTCGATAGCCCTGTCAAATTTGTCGAGGGAATCCAAATTTCATTGACCTCGGGGTCACCGATGACGTCACAGGTCAGGTCAAAGATAACATGTTTCACCGTTCACGGGGCTTCTAGGGAAAGCGCTATAACACTGAGTAAAACGCATTTTGTCGAAAATCAGCGATAAGGCGTCAGTTGTATAGTACATATGTTGCTATTAGAGGTCACTAGTCATACCAGGTCAGGTCACAGGTCAGGTCACCAAAGGTCACCAAAGGTCACCACATGAGCCCAACTTTACTAAGGTTATGCGATGCATGTTTTATGGCCAGTTTTTTTCATATCCAACTCAATGGTGTTGGTTATAAGACCATCAGGTACCGTTTAGGTCACTTCCTGGTGGAGGTCAGGTCAAGGTCAGGTCAAAAAAGGTCAAATTTTAAAGTTGATATTTTTGCATAAAATGGGTATCGATTCGATGCAGCTCGTCACGGGGAGTCTAATGGTGGTCTTTGTTTGCGCTACGAGGTCTAGAATTGCTAAAAATTGATTTTGAAAATTTGACGTTATCAATTTTGAACAGTTTTTTTCGCCATAACTTGGCCAAAAAAGAGGTATCGATCTCAAATTTGGTATGTAGATAGAAGGCGGTAGGGACTATCATATATATTCCGGTTTTTTTCGAAATTCAAAAAACTTTTTGGATTTTTCGGCTATTATATTCCAAAGATCTATTTTTTGATTTTTTGGGGTCAAAATCCAAAAAATTCGAAAAACCGAAATAGCAATTTTGTAGCCCTTTGAATTTCACACCTTTTATGTATGAAACATTTTTCTGTATCTCTAAAGCTGTAGGCCTGACAGCTCTTCCCGCGAAACCTTTTTTTGGGTCGAAAATGGCAAGAATGACGTCACTCTGACGTCATTAGCGGCCAACCTATCATAGCCTTTGGAAAAAAAAAATTTTGGTCACCATGTGCGCTAGCTGCTCCCGGGAGGGTACTGAAAGTTTTGTGACGATCAGCGCAGCGGTTCTCGAGATATATGGAAAAAAACTAAAGGGGGGGGGGGCAAAAAAATGCCCCCCCCCCCACCGCCTGGAAGGTTAAAAACGTTGGCTACGTTTCCATGGCATAAGTTCAGCCGGTGTTGAAAAAATGAATTTGCTCCATCTCATCAATTAGACATAATTAAAAAATGTAAATGTTGAACTAGGTACAGGCTTAAACCATATATATGCTTATTTTTTGCATATTGTGAATAATATCCGAGAAAAACGCACGTGAAATTTCGCTATATCGATTTAGACGTCATAGAAACGTAGTGATTATGTTGTTGTCATTAGCCAAGATTCTTACAGACAAGATTGGGACATCAGTCGCGTGATCCTTTCCAACCCTACTCACGATTTTCATAAGCCTTGATTTATTCTTGAAATACTTTGAACAGAGGCATTTGTAGTAAATTTGTTTACAAAATAATTAAATGATATTTGAAATTGACAAATGCATTTTTTCTCACAATCTCAAACAAAAGTTTAATTTATTCGCGTTTCATTAATTTAGCCAGCTGGCAACCATCACCCATCGTCCTCAGGGGTGGAGAATTATGGGTTTTGGGGGTGCTCAAGCACCCCCTGAAATTCAAAAGTCACCGTGCAATAGTGCTCCAGGGGTGCTTAATTTACGCCTGAGACACAAACTGCTTTGCGTAAGCCGCGAGGAGAGTGATGCTGCTTGGAAAACGTACCTACACATGCTTTTCTACGCAAGAATTCGAAGCTTCCATTCGCCAGATGCTAGAAAAGCACCCCCTGGGATTATGACAATTTTCCGCCCCTGATCGTCCTCGATGTAGTCGAACTTGGCGCACTCGGATAGTGTTCGAAATTTGTGACGCTTACTTGTTGCTATGGAGACAGGGCAGTATCTACGCTTTTCATTCGTCAACAAGTGCTTGCAGAGCTGCCGCTCACACTTTTGAACACATTCTTTATGCGTCAGTTTCACGGATGGAAAATAAAAAGCTATACCAAAATAAATCAAAAGGAAAGCGACTCACTGCTAAATTAAATTCTATCGCCTGTCACAAATGCGCTTATGTTTTACTACGAGGATGATTGCTATTTTCTCAAGACTCAAATTATAACAAAGTGAATGAATGTGCCGTACGCGACTGTTCAGAAGGAGAAAACACATAGCTGACGCCACATGCCCGTTAATGACGCTGATTGCTCACGGTGCCCGCTTGACCGCCTGCCCCGGCCGCACCGCCGCGTCCCACCCCGCCTCGGTCCTCTCCCCAGCCGGGCGGGCGCGGCCCCAGCCGGGCGGGCGCGGCGGCCTGCGGCTGACCTACCCCTCCCCCCCCTACCCAGCGTTTGCGGCGGATCCCTCCCTGCAAGCGGCGCCATAGATTTAAGTGCATAACACTTTTGCGCCAATTGCTTGTTATTCATGAATTTTATGTTCTAGTGTGAATGCATGATCTCTCTCTCTCTCTCTCTCTCTCTCTCTCTCTCTCTCTCTCTCTCTCTCTCTCTCTCTCTCCCTCCCTCCCTCCCCCCTGCCCTCCTCACCCCGCCCCACCAAAGCGGGCTCCGTCCTCTCACCGTCCGGCGGCCGACACCCCCCCCCCTCCCCGCTGCTCACTGATGGTACCCCATCTCCCCCGACGTGTCCAATT